AGACACAGTCCCCTAATTATCTTTGTTGCTCTTCTCTGCACTCTTTCTAGAGTCTCCACATCTTTTCTACATCATGGCAACAGCAGTCCTGGGTCAGCTGAACAATTGGTTTGATGAGTACATGGAGTTTTATAATTTTCAGAGATGCTGCTAGGGGAGTTGTGCTATGCCTGAAATGCCCTTAGGAGATTGTGTCTTTGCACCTCTGTACCTGGCTGGAACTGGATGGGTGGAAGCTGCCAGCATGGCAGTGGGAGATTGGACCATGGGATGGACTGGTGGGTGTGGGGAAAAGATCTTGAACTTTCAACTGGGTGGGAAACCCAGGAAGCTTTCAGATTTGGGTTTTCCCAGGTGTGTCAACATGGCTCGCTTAATAAATTGGAACTTTGAGCAATACTTTGCCTTGGACTCTGATTTACTTTTGGATGCTATTTGGAATCCTGACATTACGGCTATTTAGGTTTGAAAAGTTATTCTTTTCATGCCTACTTTGATTACCAGACAAGAAAGAAAATTGCAGTGGTAAATTGGATTCCTTAGCAGACAACTGTTGAGGGCGAAATTTGCAAAGGCTGACAAAATATTCGTTTCTTGGGCATCCCCTCCCCCTCTCTTAATGGAAGAAGGATGAAATGCAAATTCAAATAAGTGAGAAAACACAGTTATCCCGTGTGTACATTTAATGGCTGGAATATGCCAGACCACAGCAGCAGCTTGAATTCTGCTGTCAAATTCCCTGTGGTCTGTAACTCTTTTGAGTATTTAATTACTGGGGTTTTTTGTTCCCCCTGAGCATTTGGGAAGGTTCCCAGGCCTCTGTAATCTTAAGGATCTCTTGCAGGGACTGGAGGATTGTGAAAATGAAAGAAACCTATTCCTGTTCGTGTACACGCAGACCTGAAGCAGGCAAAAGATAAATCAGAAGTTAACTTTCCAAGACGTTACACTTCCGTGTGGTGACCTTGGTTGGATGATTTGCCATTGTTCAATTGACCTCAATTTCCCTATCAATACAACAGTGTTTTCCCCATTTTTTTTCTGGAACGGAATGAGCTACAGAACAAGAGGCAACCAAAAAGACATATTCACTCTTCAGCTGATTAAATGTAGCAATTGGAGGCGTGATAGATCAGCTCTAACTTGTCCAGAAAGTTGTCGATACCAACAATTCCATTCCAGGTCATTTTTTCCCCCCGTTAGCCCACATTTCTAGGTCCATCCACAAAGGAAGGGGGAGGCGAAGAAGGGAGCCTGTCCTGCTGCAAGCTTTCTTTTAATTAATTTTTCATTCTATTAGCATTCCACATAATAGGATACATGGCTCCCCAAGGCACTTCTAATGTACTTTCACAAACGTTCTCACCAGTTAATGGTACCGTAAAAATTGCTCGCCTCAAAACGGCCCAGCCCCAAATAAAGACACGTCTCTCTTTACTCTCAGGCCATCCACCATCTACCCCCTCCGTCCCGCAGGAGTAAATAAAACTCCCCCTCCCACATGCAGGCAAAGAGCTGTGGCGTTGCCTAGCAAAACCAGCCCTGCCTCTGCCAACGGCTGGCTCCCGCTCGTGCCTCACCACGCATGGGGTCACTTCTCCTGAACAATCCAGAACCTCACTGATTAGTATATTATTAGCATTCTTGGCATCTGGAGTTGGTTGGAGTTGGGTAATAAAAGGACTTACATCAAACTCCTGCCAACATGCCAAGTTAGGAAGCAGCAGATGCTTTTCCCAGGAGAGCTTGGGCTGCATTGAAGGCCATGATGAGGCCCCTCATTCCTCCACGGGGAGTTTAAATGAATTGGGGGAATATGAAGGAATGGGGTCTTTCAATGCTTAGCGTTTGTTCCCTCTGCTATAAGTGCAAACAGACATTTTCCTTGTGAAACACCATACTTGAAGTCTCTATGGAGATTCTCAACCATCCAGGTCATGGTTGCCCCATAGGTGCTTTTTCAAAGGGAAATCGGATTTTGTTTTTCTTTGAAGAAGTTTCACTTCTCACCCAAGAAGCTTCTTCAGCTCTGACTGGATGGCGGGGAAGTTGAATTCCATTCCCCACCAGCCACTCAGAGCTGAAGAAGCTTCTTGGGTGAGAAGTGAAACGTCTTCAAAACAACAACAACCAGAGGTCCAGTTGCCCCTTGAAAAAAACACTTTTGGGACACTCTACTGGAATTATTCCAATGTATGGCTACTAAACTTTAGTAGTCATACTATAACTTACATAATATACAATATACACCAGGGGTGAAATTCAGCAGGTTCTGACCAGTTCTGGAGAACCGATAGCGGAAATTTTGAGTAGTTCAGAGAACTGGCTGGCCCCAGAGTGGGGAGGCACGAGCGGGAGCCAGCCGTTGGCAGAGGCAGGGNCCCCCTCTCTGCCTCCGACACAGAGCCCTCATCAGAGCCTTCCCAAGATTCCAGGACTGGCCCAGGTTCCTCCCCAACCCTCCTCACTGTCTGAGTCTGCTGCCACTGATGGGCCACAACAGATATCTCCTCCAAGGTCCATGACTATCCCATCTTCATCTTACCTTTGATTTTTTTTCTGGGTAGGTGGGTTTCTCTCTAAGGAAGACCTAGTCTATGATTCCCACCCATTTGATTTATACCCATGAAGATCTTTAAATGCACTTTGGAAATAGATTCTTGACGGTGCCTTAATTTGCAGCAGGAATTGTCTCCTTCAGAGGAAGGAAAAGGAGATTTCATAGGCGAGGGGACCTATAAATGTAAGAAAATATTCACGGATGCTCTGGTAGTTTTAGGCAGGCTATTAACTAGACCAACTATATCTATGTTGTAGCATGTTTTGAGGTATATGTTATAACCTGAATCAAGGACATTGGAGGAGTGGTGCTGTGGCCTAGAGGTAGAACTTTTGCCTCACAATCAAGAGGCTGTGAGTTTGATCCTGGGTAGAGGCAGATCTTTCTCTGGGCACAATGAGAATTTATCTGCTGAATATAACTCCACATTGGTGACAGGGAAAGGCATCCAGCCAGTAATCAGCTCCATTTCGGTTGCCCAGACTCCACCCTGCAAGGGATGTGCTACTTCTTGATTCAGTCTGCTTCTTGTTTCCCGATTAAGTCTTCTTCTGGTTGTGGTTGAGCTTTATTCTGCAAATTATTCTTTACAGGGCTCACATTTTGTGGGTGGATCGAAACAAGCCATTGTGGGCAATACAAGTAAGTGTGATTGTGCGTTGGTAGTTCTGGACTCACGAGATTGATAGCATCTTATTCCTCCCGACCTCGTTACTTATTCCCTGCCTTTCTGTCTTCTCCTCCTTTCAGGTCAGTGTAGCCATCATTAGCTTCCTAGAGACCATGCTTCTGATCTACCTCAGCTATAAGGTAAGAGAGAAGATTAGAGGACATGTTTTGGCCTGTGATCAGATGGGAGGGGGATGGGAGCGTTTTCTATAAGGGGATATGGATCTAACAACCTTGATGGTGAATTGATTTGAAGATGTTTGTGGGTTCTGTGGGAATGCCGAGATCCACCCAACTTGGTTTCCCAATTCTAGTACACAGTCACTAGTTCCAGAAAATAAGTCCGTGTTTCGTTTTTGGTTTTTTTGCTTCGGTTGGAGGTAACTGTTGTGGCCCGCCAGAAGAGCTGGCAGCAAATTCAGACAGTGAGGAGGTTGGGGAGGAAGATGGGCCAGTCCTTGAGTCTGGGGAAGGCTCGGATGTGGACTCTATGTCGGAGGCAGAGAGGGGGCCAGGNTCCTCTGGGAGGGGCCATTCACCGTCCACCTGTAGCCTTACTCCCAAGTTGACCCTTGTTCCTTAGCTGTTCCCTTCGTCTGGCAACTCTGCGCATGTGCACACCAGGAACAGGCTCCAGCTGTAAGGGGCTGGCAGGATCAGGTTCTCTTGGTGCAGGGATTTTTCCACCGAGCTGTTCTTTATTTTGTTGGTTCTGGTTTGAGTTATTATTGCTGCTGTAATTTGCCTAATGACTTTAATCTACTCTCTTTACATCAGGCCTGAGGATACGCCTGTTTAACTTCTCACTCAAGCTTCTCACTTGCCTTCTTTATATTGTCCGCGTTCTGCTGGATGACCCAGAACGGATAGGATGGTGAGGAATTCTCATTTACAACAGTAGTAATCGCGATATCACTTCGATCTCTACAGATGGGGAGGGAAGGGGACGTTGGCTCTGATTTGATTGGCATCAACCATTGGGTTTGGAGTGGCAGTCTTGATTCAGAAAGATTTGGGGAAATGGAGATCATTTGGTTGAATCCTTTTTTTTAAAAAGAAATAAATAAATTGGGAAACATCAGTCTGATTCATAAGGTTAGTTTGATTCGATGAATCGCATAGGAAAAAAAAATCTGCTGTGAACCCCATATAGGCATCAGGAAGGGCATCCAGACAGTAAATGCGCAGGTCCATCCAGTCATCCCAACTCTAACCTGAATTAAGGGATTACATCTGATGAATGGACTTGCTCTCAAAGGGAAACACACACACACACACACACACACACACAAACCTGTTCAAAATTCAGCCACCCCTATTAGGGGACTGGAATAAAATTGAGATGTTGTTTTTGGAGCTGATCAGATTTAAATCACCTTATTTATATAAGGCAGATCTCCAACTAACCCTCTGCATGTGATTAAATGTTCTATGAAGCATCGCCCCACCTAAAAAAAGTTTGAAAATGGATTGTTGTTCATAGAACAAACTAATATCCATCTTTTTAGCATAGCGATCAATTTACTGAACTTTGCTTCTAAAACGCCTCTTCTTTTCTTTTCATTCATTCAGCTGGGAATGTGAGAAACACATCTACTCCTCCTTCAATCAATCATCATCAGAAATCAACTGGTAAAGGGGGTTGGCAGCTTTTCTGAAGGTTGTTGCGGAGCTTCGGTTTTAACAGGGAGCCTGGTTTAATTTCTGGGTGAAACCAAGCAGTGAAAAGAACCCCCAGGCTGCTAAAATACACATCTATTAAAAACAAAAAGAACATCGAAATAATGCACAAGCATGTTTGCTGGTCCACCCTCCCTTTGCCCTATAGGATGTTGTTTCTCCTTGATATTGTTCTGACCTAGGCTTCCCAAGCAGCATGAAACCAAGTCCTTGTCCCGATAAAACCCTTTTATTTATTTGACAGTGAATCCCTCTCCAGCAAAGTCTTTCCTCTCCCACCATCTTTCAAGATAGTTCACAATTACCGACCTTTATCAGGCTTGGAGAGTGGCCAGGCTGATATCTTTCAGACGCCGCAATACTTGGCAAGAACGCAGGAAGGAACTAATTGCCTCCTGCAACCTCCACTCCCCTTTCGCTCCTCTTTTATTTCCTCTGGGAGGGGCCAATAGTGTGGCAAGAGTTGATACATCCCAACAACTCTCTGACTCTGTCCATCATCTTCTTTTACTGACCCCATAATNTGTGGGAGTTTCATCACTGGAGTCTTTCAAGAAGAGACTGGACTGCCCTCTGTCAGAAATGGTGTAGGGTCTCCTGCTTGGGTGGGTGGGTGGGGTTGGACTGGATGACCTCCAAGGCCCCTTCCAACTCTGTCATTCTATATTCAAAGGACGAGAAGTTGCCTTCAGAAGTTGTGGGAGCTTCATCACTGGAGGCTTTCAAGAAGAGACTGGACTGCCATTGGTCAGAAATGGTGAAATGCTTGAGCAGGAAGTTGGCCTAGATGACCTCCAAGCCCTTCAGAGAAAGAGATGGATAAGAGAGCAAGAGGCCCTTTTCATACCTCTCTCTGTATTGCTCTGAGGCATCCGTGTGATTCTAATCAGAAAGAAATATCGTTACAAAATTCCAACATAGTATAGTATAACAGAGTCAGAAGAGACCTTGGAGATCATCTAGGCCAACCCCCCTGCCCAAGCAGGAGACCCTACACCATTTTTGACAGCTGCCAGTCCAGTGTCTTCTTAAAAACCTCCAGGGATGAAGCTCCCACAACTTCTGAAGGCAAGCCATTCCACTGGTTGATTGTCCTCACTTTTAGGAAGTTTCTCCTCCCTATAGCGAGTATGGAACTCAGAATACAGAATATAGTATAGCAGAGCTGGAAGGGGCCTTGGAGGTCTTCTAGTCCAGCCCCCTGCTCAAGCAGGAGAGCTAAACCATTTCAGACAAGTGACTGCCCAGTCTCTTCTTAAAGATCTCCAGTGATGAAGCTCCCACAACTTCTGAAGGCACTTGAGCTCCACCTCTTGATGAGGAAGTTCTGGAGAACTTTTTCTGTGCCAGTAAGAGATTCCACAGTCTGCATCAAGTTCTTCAATAATAGGGGGAAAAAACTCCAACACGTTTACTATTAAGGATGAAGAATTAAACGGAATATTTTTTGACGTGGGATGTATGTACTTCATCAATGGCTAGACAATAGGAACAGAAGTTGGGAAGGAGGAGACTTAAAAAGAGGAAATGCTAATGTGGAGAAAATTTAAAGATGATGATGTTATGGATTATTGTTATTAAACTATTATAAGGTAGAAGGGAAAGGTTCCCCTCGCACATATGTGCTAGTCATTCTTGATTCTAGGGGGCGGTGCTCATCTCCGTTTCAAAGCCGAAGAGCCAGTGCTGTTCATGAAGGATCGGCAACCTTAAACACTCAAAGACCCACAAATGTCCTAACTAGAAGCCCCCCATTCAATTCTGGAGCCATACGGACGTCTGGTTCCCCCACCATAGAGTCTCCTCCTAGCATGGCATCCTTTTCCCCCTGCTGACCAGAAATCCAGCCCCCCCCCCCACTATAGAGTCTCCTCCTAGCATGGCGTCCTTTTCCCCCTGCTGACCAGAAGTCCAGTTTCCCCCCCCCACCATAGAGTCTCCTCCTAGCATGGCGTCCTTTCCCCACTGCTGACCAGAAGTCCAGTTTGCCCCCCCCCACCATAGAGTCTCCTCCTAGAGCTGCATCCTTTTTCCTCTACCTGTCCTAACTGAAAGTCCTATCAATTCTGGAGCCGACTGGCAACAGGGAGCCGCACCAGAGCCACATGCGGCTCAAGAGCCGTGGGCTGCTAACCCCTAATGGTCCATGCCCTAAGCAATTGAGGTTCTCAGGAGACGCGTCACTAAGCGAGGCATTGAAAAGCCAACCCAGACATCTTCCGGGATTCCCGTCCTCGTTGTCCTTACCCGGACCAAGGCTCCCTTCTCATGGTAGTACTTCCCAATCAGCTGAGCATTCTGCTTGAAGGTCTCCAGCCTGCGCTCAATTCCATGGGGGTTGTCATCCAAGAGGCCGTGTTCCCGAGCCCGCTCTTTTAGCCGTTGCCGCAGCTGTTGACTTGAGCAAGCCAGGAACACCACAACGTCCGGAGAACCAACCTAACAAAGGCAAAGGACAGACGATAAGATCGTGATCTTATCATTGGTCTCATCCCACCTTAGCCTGCTTTCAATCCAAGGAGCCCTTTCTCTTTTCCCTCTACATCTTTTCCCTCTTCGGTTCCCTTCTTCTCCTCCTCTGAAAAATCCAAACTCACCTGTTGGTCTCGCTACTACCTGTGAAGTTTCCCATAGATGACCTAATTAATTTACAAGCCTCGAGACAAAGTTCCAAAGAAATCCAGTCATTTGTTAGGAGCAACATTTTGGTGTGTTCTTCTGCGGAGCCAAACCTGATTCCCGCTTAATGGTGTCTGAACTTTACCCCCATGTCTTCGCCTCCCCTCAGTCTGTGTCATAAATCACATCCACCAATGAGGTGCTGCAGAAGGCTGTAAACTTTGGCGCCTCACACAGCCTGCTTTAGAAATCTGAGATCCGACCCTGGTAGAAGGTACAGTATGCATGGAATTCTCCCTCCCTTTTCCAAGTCAACTTGATAATAAGCATAAAAATGTTTTACAATTGACACTACCATCAGGTGAAAGACGTAGGGAAAAGGTTCTGGAAGGACAGGTAGAGAGAAGAACAGAGGTCTCCAAGGAAGGCACCAACCTGCCATCTCTCCACGATGAGTGTTGGCAGCTTCATCTCACCTGCTCCTCAAACAAGAAGGCCTGGCTGATGTCTCGCGGGAATCCATCCACCACGAAACCTTGGGCATCTGGATGTTTGATGAACTGCTGCTTCAACTCTTCAATGGTCGTCTCCTGAAAAGCAGAGAGATATCTCAGGAGGAATGGCAGTGAGGTGGTTTTGGGGACCCAAACATAGCAGGATAAGTTCTCCCCCAATTAAAAAGTTCAGAGAAATGCAACTAAGATGATCAAAGGCCTGCGTTGTGGCCCACTAGCGGTAATCGGACCTGGAAGCAGAGTCGGACAGTGAGGAGAGGTTGGGGAGGAACATGGGCCAGTCCTGGAGTCTGGGGAAGGCTCTGATGAGGGCTCTTGTCAGAGGCAGAGAGGGGGCCAGGGCCCTCTGACAGTTATCAACTGCCTTCAGAGTCAGACATCAGTGAGGCAGAAAAACAGCTGGAGCCTGTCAGAGGAAGGGAACAGCTAAAGAACAGTGGTCAACTTGGGTGTAAGGCCACAAGTGGACAATGAATGGCCCCTCCCAGAGGAAATAAAAGAGGAGTGAAAGGGGAGTGGAGTTTGCAGGAGACCATAACTTCGCTTCATTGGTTTGTGATTCTCCGAGACTCCTTGCCAAATTCTGCAGAGATCAGCCTGGCAGCTCTCCAAGCCAGATAAGGTCTGTGACTGTAAATCCTCCCTTGAAAGACTTTGCTGGAGGTCAATGAGCAGAATTCACAGTCAATGAATAAAAGGGTTTTTTGTTGGGACAAGGAGTTTGCTTCAAGCTCTCGGGAAGCCTCGGTCACAACAGCCTGGAGACTAAAACATATGACGAAAGGACTTGGGTTTGGCTAGTTTAAAGAGGGGTGACATGATAACAGTATTCTGATATTTGAGAGGTTGCCACAAAGAATAAGGGGGTCAACTTATGTTCCAAAGCACTGGAAGACAAGAAACAATGGATGGAAACTAATGAAAGAGAGAAGCACCCTGGAATTAAGAAGAAACTTCCTAACAGTGGGAACAATTAACCAGTGGAATAGCTTGCCTCCAGAAATAATGAGTGCTCCATCACTGGAGGCTTTTAAGAAGAGACTGGACAGAATGGTATTGGGCAAGGGGTTCTGACGGAGGCTTCCCAAGAGTGTGAAGCCAACTCCTGGTCCTGACAAAAACCCCTTTTATTCATTGACTATGAATTCTGCTCATTCACCTCCAGCAAAGTCTTTCAAGGGAGGATTTACAGTCACAGACCTTATCTGGCTTGGAGAGCTGCCAGGCTGAGATCTGCAGAACCTGGCAAGGAGCCTCGGAGAGTCAGGAACCAATGAAGC